TGAACTGTACTCAAAGAATAGTCACTCGATCAAGCCCGCTTCGAATCTTCTCTCTCTTATAGATACGAAATATCCGTCTGAAAGCTCTGTACTACTGAATCGCAGCACTATTGTCTACACTATTAATCGTTTATATCTCGATAAATTTTCCCAGTGATTTGTGAATCCTGACGAAGCTACAAAGCTCGCGAAACGTTGGAAAGTAAAAAAATAATTGGACACCGCTGAAACATGGAGATCTCGATTAACAATTTACGGGGTGATTGCAGTGTGACGCTTTCAAAAATTCGATTTTACAATCCAATCGAGCCAGTGAGAGCCTCCGAAAACTCTCATTCTCGATGAAAGTTACGAATCTTATTAATCATTTATCTCTCGGTAACTTGTCAGCATGATTCGTTTATTTATTTTCACGTGGAAAATTGGTCGCTGCTCAAATATGGAAGCCTCGATTAAAAATTTACGATGTCGTTCCGGTGTGACACCTTCGAAAATTCGATTTTAAAATTCGATCCAGGTGGTGAAAGCTTCCGAATAAAATTCTCGATGGAATTATCAATTTATCGCGAGTTGTTGCTAATTTTAACAGGATCACCGTAGAATTTGAAGAGGAAACAAAGTTTTTTTCTGAGGAAAAAGTGTTTTTCACGAGTAATCGAAAAATTTGGAAAATTATCGTTTCCACGATAATGCCTGGGGGTCTAGGGTCGCATACGCTCGGTCTGTCAGCGTTAATACGTTGGACACGGCGTAAAACTGGTCGCTTTACTGCCTGCACGGGGGGTTGGAAGTGCGGACCGTAAGAACTTCGTTACCACTGTCGCGGGAAATTGCAGCCAGTCCGTGAAAAAAACCCGCGGCGGCCCGTAAATTCGCCATTATTAAATTCGACAAGGACGAACGAGGCTAGGAACCCTACCTCGCGAATTCTTTCCTCCTGTGTCGTGAGGAAAGATCGATCTGCCTTCGTTTCCACCAAATTTCCGACTGATTCTTTTTCTCTCTTTCTCTGGATCTCCCTTTTCCTGGATT